CCCCAAAACCCCAAAACCCCAAAACCCCAGAAGTTAGAATTTTATTAAGGATTCGAAATAATTAGTCTTTGAAAATTAATTCTTTTTATTATTCTACTATAAAATAAATTTTGAAATAATGAACTCTGATAAAAGAAGGAAGTAACCCTTAAATGAAAGCAATCAAACTTCTTCAAGAAATGAGTAGTCAGACAGCGTTGAAGGAAATAGTCATGGAAATCAATCAGCCGAGAGTGAGGAAAACAATGCCAGTGCTACTTCTTCTGAGAGTGAACATCAATAAAATGATAAAAGGAATAAATAAAAAACAATAACTAATAAAAATCAGAATAGACAGTCTATCAGTAGCGATGAAAGTGAGCAAAATCATCACAAATAGTAGTAACCTAAATAAAAAGGCAAATTACAAAAGCAATTCGCTTAAAACTCATAATCAAACTCAGAGGGAAGCGATAAGATTTAAAATAGTTCTGTGAGTGAAGATGACGATCGCATCAGTTCTTTATTTTACAAAGTCAGTAAAACATCTCCGGTTAAAGAGTAAATAGATACTTCAAATTCTAAATCAAAGTAATCGAAACAGGATGTTTCAATAAGATAGAAAAATAAAGACAGTGAATAAGAAAAGATTCAAAATTCAGTTACTTAAGATGATTTAAAAGTCGGTCATACAGACAATAATAAGCATTATCGGACTAATGACGGAGTAAAGATGTCTAATTAACAACAATAGGTGTCAAAGAAAAAATCTAAATCTCTCAAAAATTATTAAAACTCATTCTAAAACTAATATGCAAAATCAAAAGAATCATAAAGTCGTCATAGGGAAACATAAAATAATGAGGACGATAAATAAAGAAAGGAATCAGATTCAAATAATGAGTCAGAAAGCAGCAAGAAATCTGGATCAGAATCTTCGGATAGTATTTAAGACCCACAATAAGATAGATAGAGTATCCGAAGTAGAAATCCCGGTAACGATGTTTGAGATAGTAAAAATACAGAATCATCTTCAACTGAGCAAAGCCAAAAATAAAATAAAGAATCTTAAAACTCATCTAGCAATTAAAATTCTCAGAGTAATGAAAGCGAGAATTCATAGTTGAATAGGAAATTGTAAACGAAAAGACTAACAAAAAAGGATAAAAAGATGTTCAACAGTCAATAAAAGCTGAGTCAAGATCAAAGTGTAAATGATGACTAGGATACACAGGTCAAAGAACCAACTCTTATTGATTTCCAAACAGATTAATGTAAGATTTACTCCATTTTTAGAATTAATAACCATCATAGTTCATGTTACATCTTAAAAGAGTCTTAGAAGAGAAAAGTACGAGATTTATTCTAACTTCTAGTCAAAGGATAACAGCTATCATAATATTTATTTTGGTCAACAATCATAGGCTTAATCTACCAAAGATAAAAAGAAAATGGTCGGATCCAACAAGGTGAGAACCTAAAAATATACAGCTTGGTCATGGGCACCTAAATCCCTCTATAATTAGTTCAAGCGTGTTTCAAACGTTTACTTCTTGATGATATCAATATTCACATTTCTACCATTCTCCCCAAAAGATCCTACTTCAATGATTGGAACATTCGTGTTTGTGCTATTATTCACTATGCTAAAAGAGGCTTATGAGGTAAGCATTTGAATATTAACTTAGATTATTAGGACTATAAAAGGTATCAGTAAGATAAAGAAATAAACAACAAAACAGCTTTAGTTTTAAACACAACTACATTCAGATTTGAGGATCAGAAATGGGAAAATATAGAGCCAGGAAACATAATTAAAATTAAAAAAGAAGAGTCTATTCCTGCAGACATTCTCATGCTTTACAGTTCTCATCCATCTGGGATTGTATACGTAGATACAATCAATTTGGATGGGGAGACCAATCTTAAGGATAAAACAGCTATGCTAGAAAATTTCGACGATAAGAAACTAGTACTCCTTAATGGGATGATAAAATGTGAATTGCCAAATGAAAATCTTGAGAAATGGGATGGACTAGTCATGTTTACTAATTAAGGATTAAAGCCAATCCAGTCTGATATCAGGAATTTAGCATTGAGAGGAAGCTAGTTAAGAAACACTCATTTTGCAATAGGTGTTGTGGTATATACCGGAATGAATACCAAAATCATGAAAAATCATAAGAAATCAAAGCAAAAGATTTCTAACATTATGAAAATGATGAACAACATGCTCTATACTGTATTCATTTTCTAACTTTTGATAGTAATAATAATGGCAAGCTTGAATGTAGACTGGGTCTAGAAGAACACTAAGCATCTGGGATATCTCAACATTGTAACTATTTATCTTAGCTTATTAAATTTTAGTCTTTTGGAGAGGAAGGCAGAAGATATTTCATTTAACTTCTAGTTTTTTGGACAGCTTACTCACATATGATCCCTATTAGCTTATATGTCATCATAGAGCTGCTCAAATTGGGAATCGCTTAATTTATAAATAAAGACATAGAGATGTATGATAGTGAACAAAAAAGATTTGCACAATGTCGAAACTCTGATTTGGTTGAGGAGCTTGGTTAAATTGAACTGATTTTTAGTGATAAAACAGGAACTCTTACCTAAAATAAAATGATATTTAGAAAGTGCTAGATAAATGGCATAAGATATGGAGAGCCAACTAAAGCTGAAGATGAAACGGAGGATGGAATGTGCATTTCAGGCATAAAGAGGACAGTAAAGGCAGTTAGACAAGAGCTCAGCTTTGGAAATCTTGATTCAGATGATGAATACTATTACCCTTATGCAACATAATTCTTTCTAAATCTAGTTCTCTGTAATACAGTCTCAATCGAAAGGGTAAAAGAAACTAAGGAGCTAAGTTATAAGGCAACAAGTCCCGATGAGATGGCACTAGTTAAAGGAGCGAAAATGTCTGGCTTCTAGCTTTTATCTAGAGAAAGAAAGGAGGCTTCAATCTATAATATGATTAAAAAGAAAAAAGAGAATTATAAGATTAAAGCTGTCTTCCCATTCGACTCGGATAGAAAACGAATGTCAGTACTTATTAAGGATCCGAATGACGAATATATCCTATATACCAAAGGTGCAGATACAGTTATGATGGAAAGGATAAACTTTGAGAAAAGTGGTGTTGAAGGTATCAAGGAATTGATTGACGAGGATCTAAGATTTTATAGTTCCCAAGGATTAAGAACTTTGGTTGTGGCAAACCGAATTATTCAAGAAGAGGAGTACCTGCAATTTAAGAAAATAAAAACAAATCTGATAAAAGCGAAGGCGAGTGTCAGAGATGAAAAGTTGAATGTGCTTTATGGGCTTATGGAGTAAAGAATGAGATATCTAGGTAGTGTGGCAATTGAAGATAAATTATAAGAAGGAGTTCCAGTGACAATATCTTAACTACTAAGGGCTAATATAAGATTTTTCATGCTTACTGGAGATAAATTAGAAACAGCTATAGAAATTGGAAAATCCTGCAAAATTATTCAGGAAAACATGACTCAATTTATACTAAACGAGCCTTAATTAGCTACAGTTCAAAAGAAATTACAAAAAATGGCAGAGCTTATGGAAATTAATACGGAAGAATAAATATCTACACTCATTGGTATATCCTAGCATAAGCAATCCATCATTGTTGAGGGGCCTACTCTTGCAACCATAATTGGAGACGAAAAGCTAAGCGATCTATTTTTCCACATTTGTATTAGATCTAAGTCAGTTATTTGCTGTAGAATGTCTCCAAAGTAAAAGGCAGATGTTGTCTAAATATTTAAGTCTCGAGGTAAATGGATCACTCTAGCCATTGGTGATGGTGCTAATGATGTTTCAATGCTAAATGAAGCCCATATAGGTGTTGGAATTACAGGAGAGGAGGGAACATAGGCTGCGAGAGCTGGAGATTTTTCTGTATCTTAGTTCAAAAGCCTAATGAAGCTTGTCTTGTTTCACGGCAGACTCAGTTACCTTAGAGTTTCAACTATGATCTGCTACTACTTTTACAAAAATATCATTTTGGTTTTCACAGAGCTATACTTTCCTTTCTATAATGGATTTTCAGGTCAGATATACTTCTTAGATTGGCTACCAATGATGTATAATGCGATATTCACTAGTTGGTACTGTCTTTTTTCTTAGTTGCTTGAAAGAGATGTGAACGATCAGTTTACATATAAATATCCAATTGTATATAAAGCTGGATAGCTTGGAAAATACTTTAACTACCAAGTATTTTGGAAATGGATCATATTTGCCCTTATTCATGGAATCTTATGTTTCTATATACCAACCTATGTAAGTCCAATAAAATATTATAAAATGCTATATAGGCGTGTGTAGGAGAGTAGTCTGACTAAATAGACAATATTACGGGAGATCATTGGACAAGATCAACGATTAGTTTCTCAATTATAATACACTTAGTATTTTACAAGTTAGTCCTTGAAACAAGACATCTAAATTTAATAGCTTTTACTTTTGGTGTTATTAGTTTACTTCTCTATTATACATTTTTGGGAATAGGCTAAATTCCATAGATTTCCTACATAACTTAAATTGAAGGCTTAGGAGTGCTCATATCTTTGTTTAAAAATCCAAATTTCTGGATTATGGTGGGTTTAATGCCTTTCGCTTGCTTGATTCCAGATATCACCTTGCATTTCATTTAGCAGGTTTATTTCCCAACACCAGTAGATTCTATCCTTTCAAAATAAAAGTTCGATCCACATTTTGATTTCAGGCTTCATTGGAATCTACATCAAAGTCATATGGACATGAAGTTGAGACAAAGTTCAATTAAGTTTGAAAAAAGAAGAAATGATGTGGAATCTAGAAGGCAAACATTTTTCCTTAACAAGTCACTTAAGATAGATAATCAGGATGTTGATACCAAAGATATGAACATCATAGAGATTATAAATTTGAAGTATTAAATTGAGCAGCAGCAAAAAAACAACATTTCAAGTGATAAGATTAAAGAGATACTTGATACATCATCAGAAGGATCTCATACAAGTGATAGGAATTCCAGCAGAGACAAAAAAAGAGAGAAGTAAACAAAGCATAGCAATACAGGAAAATCTAGTAAATCCACAAAGTAAGGTAAATAGAGCTCATTGCGATCTTTGCAAAGACAAAAACCAACAGATTCTTAAAATTCAAGTATAACTGGTAATTCAAGAAGCAAAGACGAAGGTAAATTAAAATCATCAGATAGTGAAGAGGAAAAATCAGAGAGATCAATGAAATTTTAGGAAGACGAGTCAAATGAAAGTAATAGTAAAAGTAGGAATGAGAATGATGACAGTTAAAGCAGTAGATCCTCATCTTCATCATCTAAATCTTCTCAATAGTCTCAATCAGATCATCAGTAAAAAAGGAAAGAGATTAAGATCAAGTAAAAGGTAAATAGTAAAGAATAAAAAAGAAGAGTAAGGGAATCTAGAAGTGAAGAGGATGACGGAAGTTAAACAAGCAGCAGTGAAGATAATGCAAAACACAATCATCATAGTGAATCAGATGATGACTCAGAAAGTGATAGATCAAATAGCGAATCAAGCCATGACAATGATTCAAATAGTAGTCGAAGTTCTAGATCGTCGAAATCATCTCAAAGTTCATAGGAGGAATAGAAGCGTAAAGTTAAAAAAGGAAAATAGACTAAAAAGAACTAGTAAAGTTTTTCAGAGAGCAGTAGGTCTCTTAATATGAGCCTAAGAAGTAATTAAGGACTAATGGTGAGAGGGGGTAGAGATGAGATTAAAAGAAAAAGCAAGAATAGAAAGACTCATTAATAAGAGTCTAGCACAGCAACTTATGAGAATAAAAATAATAATAAAAATCATGATCGTGAGCGTAAATAGTAAGCTTCAAGCTCTGAATATCAAGATTAGAAAGATAAAGATCATGATTCATTATCACATTAGTCACTTAGTTTGGTTTCTGATTTCAAGAGTCAACAGCCACCTTTAAACCAACATCTTAAAGTATAGGTATACAATGGAGATACTTTCAAAGGAGATAATAACACTTCTTCATTTAAAAAGAATAAGTCTTTGGAATTGAGAAGTAAGAAGTTTAGCGGAGAAAAAAATATCAAAGAAAACAAATCTGCAGACAACTAAGGACCTGAAGCTAACCTTAAGATGTCTGAGATTAACTCCAGAAGTAATATCGTTTAAAGCATATAAGATGATGAAGAGATTAAGACCAAACCTGTTGTTTAAGTAAAGCCAAAAGTCCCCAAGAGTAAGTGAATAATATGGTTTATTGATAAATGTAGTTAACTTTGCCATGAGCATTTTAAATATCTTCAAGAGCAACAAGGCAAAGATTTTGGATGCTACTTAGAGCACTTTCGATTAAAGTAAATATAGAAATGAAAAATCAAGAGCACCAGCAACTTATGTGGTTGATCAGTTGATGCATTCAATGAGAACCTAGGATAAATCCTCAGCCCATATAGGATTAGGGCGTGCCTAGCCAGCAGTTATAGAAACACTAGGCCATCCCTTGGAATCCCATAGATCTCACAAGAAAGCCTATGATTTCTTAGACGAAGAAAATACCCCTAATCAGAATCAATCAAACTAATGGAATCAAATCTTTTAAGCACCTTAGATAACAGGCTCTAAAACCCCAAGAAGAATTAAGAAGTACGTTGAGAAATATAAAAAAGATTTTTGTTGAATTTTAGATAATTAATAGTAAAACCTTTGGACTCATTGTAATAATTTAAGCATGATTTAATATTGAAAAAAATAATCTAATTTCTAAAAGTTCTATGATTAAGACATTTGTTCGATCGGGGTTTTGGGGTTTTGGGGTTTTGGGG